TATATATATATATATATATATCACATCTTCTTCACTCATTCACCTGTTAATAGACACATATCATAACTTGCTTCTATATATTGGGGATTGTAAATAGTTCTATGAACATTAGGGTACATGTATCTTTTTTAATTTGTGTTTTCATGTTTTTCAGATACTCAGTGGATTTTCTGGGTCACGTGGTAATTCTATTTTTTAGTTTTTTGAGAAACCTCCATGCTGTTTTCATAGTGGCTGTACCAATTTATATTCCCACCAATAGTACATGAGAGTTCCCTTTTCTCACATCCTCCCCAAGATTTTTTATTTGTGGTCTTTTTGATGTAACCATTTTCAAAAGTGTAAGGTTATGCTTCACTGTGATTTTAATTTGCATTTCTTTGATGTGCTTAATTTTTGATCACCAAGGCATGATGATAGGCATCTGTAACCTCCACAGACTATTCAGGCTCTATGAAATAAAGATTAGAAATAAATAAAACACTTACAGAAATGTGGTTTCCCCACTGTTCAATTTCTTTGGTTTGAAACATGGTAAATCTAATTACAAATTAATCTTATTAACACTAATGACATGGTGATTAACAAGAGAAATGCATCTGTGGTCAAATTGCCTCTTTTAAATTTTCCAAGGAACTGCACCAGTAACAGACAGGAGGCAACAGTCTTTGGGATAAAAAGTTTGCCTGCATCTGGTGCTATCTTGATTACTACTTTCTTGGTACCTAACATAAGAAAAATAACCAAAAATTTCAGATGTATATAGTATCTCACTAATTAGCCAGTATACGGCAGAAGTGAAAGGTGTGATCGTGACATGTGTCAGAAACCACAGTAGGATCCTGATATAGACAGCTGCTAAGAGATGGTATGAGAGCAAGCTGGCTATGAGTTTGTTCGGCAAGAAATCAAGTGGAGACTTTGTAAATCAGAGAAGCCAGATCCTAGCCTGGGTAAGTAAAAATCTAGAGACAAAATGCTTACTGATGATACAAACAAAGAATGTTGGGGTCTGGTCTGTCCTATGGCCAGGAATATTTAGGGACCATAAAATATCTAATCTAGCCTCATGCTTGTTAATTGGCATTAGTTAAAACATGGAATAATTTTAAAAGATCCATATATTACATTTTTATATTCATTTAAAACATACAAATATGTATTTATCTTTCAATCTTTGCTGGTAAGCCAACACACCCATTTTTAAAAATAAGTCTGCCAAATGGAGATATATTTTTGCACAAAACATCCATAATGCATAAGACATACTTTGAAGTTTTTATATCTTTGAAGTGGAACAAGAATTTAAGATTCTTATAAATGTATTAGTTCAGAATTATAGATTTTTAATGCCAAATTTTGAAACCACCTTGCCAATCTTTATTTCAATGATAATATGATATTGATAAACCCAATTCAATGATAAATCCAATATGTTACTTGAGAAGAACAGAAAAATAGTTCCAAAAGGAATGAAGAGGCTGAACCAAAACAGAAACAATGCCTAGTTGTGGATGTATCTGATGGTAGAAGTAAAGTTTGATGCTGTAAAGAACAATATTGCATAGGAATCTGGAATGTTAGATCCTTAAATCAAGGTAAACTGGAAGTGGTCAAACAGGAAATGGAAAGAATGAACATCAACATATTAGGAATCAGTGAACTAAAATGGACCAGACTGGGCAAATTAGATTCAGATGAAATTATATCTACTACTGTGGGAAAGAATCCCTTAGAAGAAAAGGATTAGACCTCATACACAACAAAAGAGTCCAAAATGCAGTACTTGGGCATAATCTCAGAAAAGACAGAATGATCTCTGTTCATTTCAGAGGAAGAACCATTCAGTATCACAGTAATCCAAGTCTTGTCCCAACTACTAATGCTGAAGAAGGTCAAGTTGATCTGTCTATGAAGATTTATAAGACCTTTTANAAAGAGCCTCTTGATGACAGTGGAAGAAGAGAGTGAAAAAATTGACTTCAAACTCAGCATCCAGAAAACTAACATCATGGTATCTGGTCCCATCACTTCATGGCAAATAGATGAGGAGACAGTGGAAACAACGAGATACTTTAATTTTTGGACTCCAAAGTCACTGCAGATGGTGACTGCAGCCATGAAATTAAAATGCATTTTCTCTTTGGAAGAAAAGTTATGCCCAACCTAGACAACATATAAAAAGCAGAGACATTACTTTGCCAGCAAATGTCTGTCTAGTCAAAGCTATGGTTTTTCCAGTAGTCATGTATAGATGTGAAAATTTGACTATAAGGAAAACTGAAGGCCAAAGCATTGGTGCTTTTGAACTGTAGTTTTGGAGAGAACTCTTAAAAGTCCCTTGCACTGCAACAAGATCAAGCCAGTGCATCCTAAAGGAAATCAGCCCTGAATACTCATTGGAAAGACCTTTGCTAAAACTGAAACTCCAATACTTTGGCCACCTGATGTGGAGAACTGATTCATTGGAAAAAATTCTGATTCTGGGAAAGATTGAAGGCATGAGGAGAAGGGTCAGCAGAGGTCGAGATGGTTGGATGTCATCACCAATTCGATGGACATGAGTTTGAGCAAGCTCCAGGAATGGTGATGGACAGCGAAGCCTGGCGTGCTTCAGTCCATGGGGTTGCAAAGAGTTGGGCATGACTGAGCATCTGAACTGAACTGAACTGAAAGCCTTTGACTGTGTGGATCACAGCAATCCATGGAAAATTATTATAGATGGGAATACCAGATCACCTTACCTGTCTTCTGCAAAATCTGTATTCAGGTCAAAAAGCAACACTTTGAACAGGACATGGAACAGTGGACTGATACCAAATTGGGAAATGAGTGCCTCAAGGTTGTATACTGTCACCTTGCTTATTTAACCTATATGCAGAGTATATCATGCAAAATGCTGGGCTGAATGAAGCATACACTGAAATCAAGTTGGCCGGGAGAAATATTAATAATCTCAGAGATGAAGCTGACACCACCCTTATGGAAGAAAGTGAAGAGGAGCTAAAAAGCCTCTTGATGAAAGTGAAAGAGGAGGGTGAAAAATCTGGTTTAAAACTCAACATTCAAAAAATGAAGATCAAGGCATCCAGTCATATCACTTCATGGCAAACAGATGGGGAAACAATGGAAAGAGTGAGAGACTTCCAAAATCACTGCAGATGGTGACTGCAGTTATGAAATTAAAAGGCACTTGCTCCTTAGAAGAAAATTATGACCAACCTAGATAACATATTAAGAAGCAAAGACATTATCGACAAAGGTTTGTAGTCAAACTTATTGTTTTTCCAGTAGTCATGTATGGATGTGAGTGTTGGATGGTGAAGAAATTTGAGTGCTGAAGAATTGATATTTTTGAACTGTGTTGTTGGAGAAGACTCTTGAGAATCTTTTGGATGGCTAGGAAATCAACCAGTCAATCCTAAAAGAAATCAGTCCTGAATATTCATTGGAAGAACTAATGCTGAAACTGAAGCTCCAATAGTTTGGCCACCTGGTGTAAAGAAATGACTCATTGGAAAAGACCCTGCTGCTGGAAAGACAGATGACAGGAGGAGAAGTGGATGGCAGAGGAGGAGATGGTTGGAATAATATCACTGAGTCAATGGAAAGAGTTTAAGCAAGATCCTGGAGTTGGTAATGGACAGGTAAGCCTGGCATGCTGCAGTCTATGTTGTTGCAAAGAGTCAGACATGACTGAGTGACTGAACTGAACTCAACTGAAAAATCTATGATCAAGCTGTATCAATTCAGGACATGATTCTGACTGTGAACCTGCTCTCTCTGCTGGATTGACCATGGTTGATTCTCTTAATGTCAGTGTGGTAATATAAACTTGCATATGAATCTTTGGCTATGTTTTAAATATTTATACAGTTTTCTTTCAGTTGTTTTTTATTTAATAGTTTCTGTCTATATGTTAAAACCTTAAGATAAAGCTTTATTTCTAGAGTTAAAGTAACTCCTTAAAATATGCCTTATTTATAGAAGAACTAGGAGATATCTGTATGATAATATTTGAGAGGCACATAAGAAGAATATATATTTTAAGACTACAGTAACTCCTAAGGAACCTTCCTGGGAAAAAACCTTACCCTCCATTCTCTTCTTTAACTCTTCTCCGTAGTACCTAGGTAACAGTATTTGCTGCATATTCCAGAGTTGTTTTACAGATGTGAAAACCTCCCACCAAATAGAAGATGTAACTTATTCAATGACCATAGCACATAGCCCCAGGCCTCCTTGGACCTAATTCCTAGGACCTAACTCCTAGTTTTATCTCCTGTGATGCTTCCCTGTTACCTCATCATCAGCCAATAAGAGAATTGGGCATGAGCTGATCACATATCCAAGAAACTGGCTTTTATAATGTTTTGCTGAAACCCTTCAGGCAGTTTAGGGTTTTTTAGAGCATTAGCCACCTGTCCCCTTGCATGGCCCTGCCATAGATCTTTCTCTGCTCCAAACTCTGATACTTCAGTTTGTTTGGAATCACTGCACTTTGGGCACAGAATCTTGCACTAACAATAGTAGGAGACCTGTAGGAGAGTCTGGTGTTGTGTAGGCAATAATGAGAAAAAAAGACACTGAAGGGATTTCTAAGGCAGCAACATTCTCTAAACTTCCTTCTTGTCTCATTTGGTAAAGGACTTGCATTTTAACTGCAGAGCTGCCTAAGAGTTAAACTAAGTAACAGATTACAATTACAGTTCATATTGCTCCAGAATATCTTAATCCAAGCAGTTGCCAGGTGTTGAGGGTAATGTCTTGATGTAGGAAGTTTCAGTGAGTAGATATATTAGTATATCAAAAAAGTAGAACCTAGAGTACTTGTAGAATTATTTTTAATATTTCTAATCATAATGAGGATATTACATACCTTTGTAATTAAACTGAATTTGTTGTATTTTGTTAGTCTGACTTAAATATACTTAAAATTATTTCTCAAAAACTTTATCCTATTTTTTATTTAGATTTATATATATAAATATAAATATATATTANAATAATATACATAATATAATATATGCAATTATATATAATATAGTATGCATTATATATATATATAATTAAAGTTCCTAGAGGTAGTGCAAGATTCTAAGGAGCAGGTGTTATTCACTGCAAGGGAAAACAGAAGAGAAGTTCAGATACAGTAAAAGGAAATAACCTGGTTAAGACAGCAAAGAGTATAACTCTTAAAACCCCTTTAACTTAGGTGGCCT